GAAAAAGAAAAAGAAAAAAAAATAAGAATAAAGATAAAGAAAACATATCGGCCTTCGAACTCTCGTAGTATTATCTCTCTCTTTCTCTCTCTCTCTCTCTCTCTCTACGTCTAGCATACGTAATAGTATTATAGTATAGTATATACGAATCCACAGGCTTCGATTGGTTACGCAAGAAGCACAACAACATTGAAGTATATAGTACCGTTCGGTTGCAATGCGAATAGAGTTTATGTTTCTTCCCCTACTATCATCATCATCATCATAATCATAATAATAATCATCATCATTATCATCATCATCATCATAATAATCATCATCATCAAGTACTCCGACGACCCTTAGCGACCTGCCAAGCGAGCCAGGGTTCTTCAACCTAAACGCAAACTAAAATTTAAGAACTAACAACATATAAGATAAACAGTTAAACTTGAATTTAGGTTTACGTTAGTCTCAAAATAAAACACTAATAATTCATTGGGATACGATGTGCAAATTTCTGATGCACCGTAATGCACGAGTGAGACACTTTTCGAGTGGCACTTCGAAATATTGCATTAACTGCATGCACATAGGTTTATATTTCGCCTTATTAACGTAAAAAAAGTATTTTAATAATATCTCCATACAAATGTTACAAATATAATTAAACTGTTATACATTTTTTTTATTTTTTTGTTCATGTTTTTACATTATACGATACCTTTATTAATAAAAATATATATATATCAATATTGTTTTCATTTTAAAACGCAAATCAAATATCTATACAACTGAGAACTATTTTATTATCTTAAATCTAATACGGAAAAGAATGAAATAAAACGACGAGGAAAGATTTGCATTTTCGTAACAACACATCTAAATAAGAGGGATCAACATCAGTTGATGATGGTTCAGGTCGGACGACATAGTGTGCAGATGAACACGACAACGACATATCTTCGTGAGTTGTTCATACGAACGTGTGCCATGCACGATCTGCCAGTTCTATGTATTTGCCTTTTTCTCTCTCTCTCTCTCTCTCTCTCTCTTTCTCTCTCTCTCTCTCTCTCTCTCTCTTACTTTAATACTCTCTGTGTATTGTGGGAAGAGAGAACAGCGCCAGTCGCGATACGCGCATACGTGTAAGCGCACGTTCGAGACTGCTCGTCGTTCGTTCGTTGTTTCGTTCGTTAGTTAGTTAATTAATTTATTTGTTTAATAATTAATACATTAACACTCGCATTAATCTTCGTATTCGTAGAAAGGAAAAATTGGTATCTTTCAATTTTACACGAATAGTGTTGTATGATGATGAGATTCGCGCGTTGTGTTAACACTTTGATTAGACGTGAATAATCGTTTTAATACAACAATTTTGTTCTTATCCCAATGTTATATAATTAGTTTTTTGTTGTTGTTGTTATTATTACATTGACAATTTGTTCTTTCTAGATTTAAAATATTCATCCAATTAATTTATGTTGTGTACCACCTGTGTAGAAAATAAATACGATAAGTAGGTTACTCGTTTATTAAAAGTTCCCATCTGTTTGGATAAACGAAAATTTATTCGTTTATCGTTCGTGTCAAAGTGTTCAAGGTGGTTTTTTTTTTTGGTGAATATCAAGTGAATACAATAATGAGCTAATTATTCTTTTTAATGTTGTACGATTAAATTGTTACTTTCCTTTTTTGTTTTTGTTTCTTTTTATTGTGTTATATATATATAAATAATCGTATTGCATTATCGACGAGAATAAATTTGACGGTTAAATGATATTAATTTCTTATAAAATTTTGTAGATAGAACGAAGAAGATCGAAATGACGAATGATAATTTTAGTTTTTTTTCCATTTCCTCTTTTAACCGTACGATAAGTGTTTCTTTTTTTAACTTATACGTTGCAATGACAACAAATGCTTATTTTGCCCGTATACGAGTTTTGCTAGAGAACCTAATTGTCTCCCACGAGGTTTCGTTATTTCACGCGTGCGTTTTGTATCTGCATGTGTGTGTGTGTGTGTGTATAGTTTCTTCTTACGAACGATGAATGACGCGAATCTGATGTTCTCAGGGACGACGAATATATATATTTGTTAAATTCTCATCGTTGATTACAATGAACAGTGAACGTTCGTTCCATCTTTTTATTTTTTCATTTCTTTTCTTTTATTTTCGCGTTCACGTTTACCCATATTTTTCTTTTTATCATTTATCTTTTATTTAAAAAGATTACCGTATATTTCATATTATAAATATTATATTACATATATATATATACATATTGGGATTTATATTAATTATTTTTGTATTCATGAATTCTTTTCATAATTAATAACGAATCATTATGTCCGAGAGGTTCGATAAATTTCGTGCAAAAATCGTCAACGTTAGTTGAATCTATATTTTTTGTCTTCTTCTTCTTTTTTATGTCATTGAGAAACCGTATGGATTTTATACGTTGATATCGATATCGTAGCGACCGAAATATGGCACCAATGACAACGTAATGAAACGCGAGATTCAAAGAACGGAAGTTACCTGCCGAAAGGTAACGGATGAGAGTGTAAAGAAAAAAAAAATGAGAAAGAAAGAAAGAGAAAGAGAGAGTGTGTGTGTGAATACAAAAAAAAGTATATCGTGATTTCGCATACCGTTTTATTCCAAAAAAAAAAAAATCAATCTTTCATTAATAACTTATAACAAAAATCTAACGTCAAAATTGTTTTAACTCCTTCTTTTATTTTTGTTTTTTTTTTTCTATCAAATCCGATCGAACGAAAATCGTTTTGTCTTCGCAGTACTGGTAACCGAGTACTCGGAACGTGTAAGAGAAGATAAGTGTCCGTGAAATTAGAACGAAACGTCTCGCTCAATTATAATTCGAGGAGAGAGAAAGAGAACTGGTCTGTTAAAGCTCGTGATTACTTTCTGAGTTAATTACTCGACGCGAGTTTATCGTCGTTAAAATCGACCATGGAATAATACTACCGAGTTTGAAAAGTTTTTTTTTAACTAACACGCACACTACCGTTTCATTTTTAATCTCATACATTCTCGTTCGATTTCGATATTACGATTAAAAACGCATATACATATACATATATATATATATATAGTCTTCGAACAAATTTTTCTTGGTTTTGTTATGTATTCTTTTTCTTTTTCTTCCCCCTCCCCCTCATACTTATTCGTAATACATAAATTTTGTCAAACGAAAAGTTTATGTCACTGAAGTAATTTCTCACGAGAAAATCGGTCGTCCGTTAATAATTCGTCCGATAATTCGTACGTTATCAGACATTATATGTTTTTTTTTTTTTTTCGTACGATCATTGCATATGGCTGTTTTCGACGATTATCGAGTACGTCACCAGTAACTCTTATCTACTTAAAAATATATATATATATATATATATAGATATTTTTGTTGTAATATATTATTAGGGTTATCTAGCGAATTTTTTTCCTTCGTTAACTTTCATTCGTCCTTTCGATCTCGGATGTTTATACTAATTGGTAAATTAAGAGCTTTTTGATTGAATACAAAAATAACGTATGCAATCTTTTTTTTTTTTTATTAATATTATAATATGAAATCCTATTGTTTAAATAATATTCAACATATTATTAGAATTATATCTATCTATTGTATTTTTTTTTTTTTATTTTTTCATTCTTTTCCACCTGATCGATAAAAATGAATCTAAACGACGATTCCGTTGAAATTTAATCGAATGAAAATAAAGATAGATCGAGAAATTTGGCAAAAATGATTAAAAAGAAACGATTTAACGAGGACAACGGCAATGGGGATTTTTATTAACGAACTGAGATATATATAAAAGAAGAATAAAAATATAAAAAGAAAAAAAAAAAAAAAAACAATGAACGGACGTTGAATAAAGAATAAGGAAGAATTAAGAAGGATAAAAGTTGTGAAACATTCGAAGAATTCTAATCCTCGATACT